AAACAATATAAACGCAGTTGGAAAGTTGTGTGAGTGATTACCTTGATATGACTATGAGCGGTAATAAATTGTGGTCGAAACATCGTCATCAGTAAATATTACTGAATAACGAACACTGTGAGACTTTATCACAATAAATTTTGCCCATAATAGAATTGTACTCTACCATAGTGCACAAATTCGATTTTTTTAAACTAACCGATGAGGAGTTATACATTATGCGATTCAGAGTATAGGGTGAGCGTCGTGGAAGGTATTCCAGCCAGGTTGATACAAAAACTTCCTTTTTACTCGATACAAATGTGTATGAAATTTTCAGTATGTGGCATGGTATTGCATCTAGTTGTCTCATAACAGTGAAAACGGGGAATATACACTGATAAAATATTGTTCCATTGCAATATGAATATAGAAGTATATTAGGTGAAAACAGTTACAACAATATATATTCACGAAAAAAAGGCCGTTTATTTAGAGTTCTGCAGTGAGAAGTTAATGTCCTATCTTACACTTTTCTCACCGTATAAAATATATATATATTTTTTGATTACAGCTTGATTCCACACGGTATTTTTGGTACAAGTATGGAATTTTCAGCATGGATATCGGTAGCCCAAATTTCGTAGGCCGACCATAGATATCAGGTGTGCGTCGGCGTGGGCTCGAACCTCGGATCATGTGCATGATCAGCGAGAGTCCTAACCACTGTGCCACCGACGTTGGCAAATAAGGTTTGAATAGTTTTGTATCTAGGGGTCCAAGTATATCGTCGTGAACGAGTGGCGGTCTACTTTAAACCTGAGCTACCAAAGATTTTTATATCTGTCTATTGCATATATATATTCTCTCGTTCGGATTTGTTTTAATTGATTGAGAAATGACCCCTAATGGTAATGTCTACTCTTGTGTATGTATTTAAAATGTTTACAAGCTACTGATTCGCAAGTTCCTTCTAAACTTGAAGAATGGCTGGCTTGTGGGTGGCAAAGTGTTTCAATACATGAGAGAAATGTTCTTCAGTTTGATCCCTGGGTTCCAAAATGCACTTCTTAACATCTTACAAATGGCTTCCGAACAGACATCATAGATTTATCAAAGGGGACAAAGCAGATATATTATAATGGAATGGTTTGTGCTTCATCTCAGAGATCATTGTGTCACAGGAAGGATATTCTGTCAGTAAATATTTTACTTGATGTTGTACGAAGTGAAAATATAATGCAATAAACGCCTCTGAAAATTCTTTACATTTTCAATTGTTGGTTTGTAGGAATTTGATTGGTTACAGGATTTCATCATGAGCTGACATTAGTTGGGGAACCATTGGAAAACCTGGGAGTACTGTACAGCTGTTTCATCCTAGTTTGGGACTCTTCAGCAATACGCACTCACCGGGATTCGAACCCAGGACCTTCCGGTTACAAGGCGAGCTCGTGTACCATTAAGCCACTGAGACCCGATCCAATGGTCCTTGAATTCTAACTTCTGCCAATTCACGACATAGCGCGACCGCTAGCCAATGTCTTTACATTTTATAAATACTCTCTACATTCTACACGATGAGATGCAAGGAGAGAGTTGTGTAAAAGGAAAGAACGCTCTGAGTTTGCCAAGATAATATCTACTGATTTCATGCATGAGTCCTTGTGTATACTGTCTACAACAGTATTGACGTTTTGGTTCGGCGACAGACCACTTGACCTACTGACGGTTTTTATCGCCATTGGCAGTGTAACAAAGTCTTTCTCAAGAAGCCCAGCAAATATTTTAGTTGGGGCGAAGACCAGTGAAGACGAATAGGTAGCATACAAAAATTAGCGAACTCAGAAGGTTGGGGACGGAGTAATACCACATTGTGATAATATCCTTAAACAGAAGGTCAAAGTAAATATCTTTTTAGAAACTGGCATGTTGTGTAAAGACCAAGAAAGATCAGAGAAAAGAAACGACCAAAGGTATTTATTATTTGGATAAATTTTTAATTCTGTGGTATCAATGATAGTAGAACTATGCGAAATAACCGGTTCATGTAAGTCACACTTGCTTTTGAAAATGACATTTAGAGGTAGTCAGCTTATGACCATTGGAGAAGGACCACTGACTAATTTCCAATGAAATGTCATTCATTTTGGAACAATCTGACTGAGAAATAAAGGGGAATGGAAATAGTCAGGTCATTGGCATACTTAACAAAATTGGTTTCATCAGAATGAGGTATGTCATGTAAAAAAAAGAAAAAGAAGTAGAAAGGAGAGAGAACAACACTGTGAACGGGGAATACCAGATAGAGTAAATGACGCCATGGAGGGACGTCTCATTGTAACCATTGTAATGCTTTTTATCAAAAAAGTAAGAATAGAGAAGGTAAGATAGCTATCCAAGAAGGTTATTCAACAATTCCAGAGAATTAGTTAACAAAATTTTGACTGAGAAATATGAAGAAGAGAATGGGAGTGTGTTGGACGTAGACTAACGAGACCGATGATCTTTTCTGTGTCGGCAGCACAGCGTTTAGGACTCTCACCGACCAAGCACATGGTCTGGGGGATCAATCCCCTGCAGGCGCACACCCAATATCAATGGTCCGCCTGCAAAATGTGGTGAAAATTCAAGACTTGTATGAAAAACAGTGTAGAGTCAAACTATAATCCAAATAAAATTTAAAAAAATAAAAAATTAAGATATTCACATGAGAAGGAATGGAAAGCTTATTAGCGGTCTTGGAGCCAGAGATTTGAGTGCAGTTAAATTGATTTTTCATTATGTTACTTGAAGAGGTTTTTGCCGATTGCCATGTCATTTACCAGTGTGTGATCGTCTTGTCTTGATGGGCTTTTCAGAAAACCATACTGAATCCCTTTCACTGGTAGCACTAATAATTGTAGTAAGGACTATCACGGACAAGGCAAATTATTACTATTTGTAGTAGTATCATTGTGCCCCCTCATCTGAATAGCTTGTTTATGAAGCTGTCATTACTCTTCTGGACAATATCTAAAAAACCCTAATTTCAAGAATAAAGTTAACTTTCAGAACACTTCTTGGGTGAAATATCTATCCTCTCTTGTGACCTTGATTGTCACTGATTGCCTCCAGTTTGGAAATGATTGCATTCTCTGAGTTGTGTGGTTTCACTGCGAAACTTCCGTTGTCTTCCTGGACAACATATTCAGCGCAAACCTCAGTATATATTCAATGCATTCATATTGATAGTGACATTAATTTGACATTTGACCATTCATAATTATTCACATATATATGATGATGCATTTCATGTCTTTTGACTTTTAATTTCAGTCTTCAATGTGGAGATGAAGGGAACATCGAAAAAATGAGAGTTCATCAGTCTTTGTACCTTCTCCCTACACCTGTTATGTATCAACAGCATGAAGTTTAAATTTGCCGCTTAAAAATTGGTTGAATTTAAACAAATCGTAAGTGAAATATTGAAACCCGTTTATTTTTTGTGCTAATGAATGAGAAAATAAATTTCACTTTTAAATCTTCAAAAATGGTGACAAAAATGCTTTTGCATTAAAAATTTGTCGGTTAAATTTCCCAGATCATTCATCCTGTTATCATTTGTATACCTAATTGACTTTGTATTCCTAAAGGGGTGGAGATTGGGTAGTTATGTATTAGTATTCAGTAGCCTAAAAATACTTATTAGATAGATTAAATGTCCACTTATAAACTAGACATTTGCATCCAGTTGTCTGAAACATTTCTATCTTTTATTATGCTTTCATTGGTTCCATTTTGTTCTGCTGACTTCTAATAAAATAAATCTGATTGAAATGTTTAGATCGATTGCGATATAGACTAATATAGATATTCAATCATTGAGCAAACAGTGTCAGTGATTTCAGTGTGTGATCGGGAATGACTTTACAGTATACGAGATTGGATAATCAGCTTAATTTAATGTGCAGTATATTGTTTCCAAAACTCAGTTTGCCTCCATTACTGGAGGATTTTAGTTGGATTCACATGAATCCTGGTGAATAACTGCACTATCAGAATAAAATGTGGACTTTAAGCATAATGATTTCGATGCGATATGGAAGCAATTATTTCAATATTGCAGAAGGCTGATAGAAATCGATTTATTTGTACAAGTAAATTGGACATACAGTCAAGGATCTGCAGTTGAAAGTGTACTTTCTGGAATTTGATGGAAGAGACATTTGATACAAGGCTCTTGTCAGATATTACTGAAAATAGTCGGATTATGAGGCGACACATGACGTCTATGGGTCAGTACTTCAATCGTCCTCTCAGGGATTGGAAGAGGTGCTGAAAATTTAAGCGGATTTACGTGTCCATATACTCATATGGAGAAAAGCACATGATTCGTAATCAGAAAACTGTTAGAACATGAATACAAGAGGATACCTCATCGTGTTTCTTCCAACAGAGGGTAAGGTTGGGGAGTAGGTAATCAGTGATTAACTTTTATAGTTATTCACCTCATTTTAACTACATTTTCAAGGCCTTTTAGTGAACTCATACTAGCCTGTAAGACTTTCTTCGTTTACCGCTTTCTAAAATTGGCGGATGACATAGCTATTCATGAACTGAAGTCAGACGCAGGGGAGCGAAAATTAGGCATATAGTGTAGATTTTTGGTTAGTTCGTTGTGTGGCTAGGTCCTCGGTGGCTGATGATCCCAATCTGGTTATCGGAATTCCGGCGTAGAGAGAAGGCAGCTGCTGATATTAGTTCCATGTTCATTGAGAATGCTTTTGATGACTCACTTGACAAGTTTCTGATACATTTAGTTGGAAGTTACTCAAAGAATCTTCTTTGTTGGCATATGTCTATTTTTAATGGTCTGTCTGATTGGAAGAAACATCTGAGGGTGCTAAAATGCTAAATATTTGTTCTATGTTAAATATAATCAAACAAGTGGGAAGTTTTATAAAGCAAATATCATGAACCAACAGCAGAGTTAGACGAAAAACAAGAAAGAAAACCAATTAATCAGCGTGAATACTTACCGTGTTCAAATGTCGTTTCGGTGTTAACTCAGTCATTGGATTCTCTACAGTTTGATTTGACTGCCAACCGCCTTTTGACTTATGACTTGATTTATTCCATATGGCGTCGAGCAGTGGTTCACGCCATCTTGCTTGAAGGAAGATATCAGCCTGATATCTTTCATTCACTGTGTCGACTTGACCAACCTTCACGAAGATAAGGACTAGTTCTACACGAGCCTAGAGAATTGTAGAGAAAAAAAAATAGAAAACAAGAGGCGTTTTAAAAGTGACATGGAAGTGTATTAGGGTTCTTTGAGGATATGAAAGTTTTATCACTTTGGTGGAATGTTTCATTATGGTTAAAATTTATTTTGATAAAGTCTCACGGAGTTATACAGTAATATTTATTGATGACAACGTTTCGAGCACAATGTATTGCTGTGAGGTCAACTGCATAGGTTAAACTAGTAGATCAGGGGTAGTCAGATTGTCTGTCAGAACATAAGAATTTAGCTAAGGTAAGAATGGTTGACCTCACCCGAGTAGATAAGTAATTTAGAAAAAAGCTCAGGGATTGCAAGCATGCATTAGCACACAACCACAGAATAGGGTGGGAGAGGGCTAAAATTCTAAGAGATAATATAGGTAGGTAAAGAGTGAGAGAGGTTGATTACTGAATCGTTCTTCATCGAATGAATCTATACCCAACACGTGAAATGGGAATGACTCATCACTCATACTGGGAATATGACAAATACTACTACCAATCAAAGCAAGCGATGTAAAGTACTCATGGAATAATATGAACGAATTTGGAAAGTTGTGTGAGTGAGTAATGCCTTGATTGAATTATGAGCAGGCATTAATTGTGATCGAAATGTGGTGCTCAGTAAATATAACTGTATAACAAACACTGTGAGACTTTATCAAAATAAATTTTACCCATATTGTAATTGTACAATTTTTATTCTTATATCAAATAATTTAATATTGTTTTCAGAAGAATGGATACTCAACAAAGAGTACTCTTTTCGATAACTTCATCATCAGGCTCTACACTTGTATATCCACCCATTATAGTGAATGAATGAATTAGTGTTATGAACAACATTAATGTTGTTTCAGTAACGTCGAATCAATAATATTGATAGATTACAGCTCAATAGCATCAACATAAAATAAGCTGAATGTCAGAAAGGCAGACTAGGAAAGATTATATTACAAATTGATGAATTTATATTCTCTACTGAAGGCTCGTCAGGGTAGTAGTACGGGCTTGGACTTGCTTCTGTTGCACACAGAGCACTGGTTGTTTGAGGTGAATTGCAATAGCCTCTGCTGTTTGGAGCATGCGGTGCTTCGATGATGATTTTGGCAATTTATTAGGCACCCAGTAGATGATGATAGAGAGGGATTCTACCACGCTGGCTGGCTTTGTGGCCGGTTTGCACCAGATGGTCCAATATCAACTGTTAATGGTTTCCATTACAAGTTTACTTAGCCATGGTGGGAGATGTTCTCGAGCGAGCATGAAAAATCAAGTTCCTAGAGCAACGGCTAATATAACTCGCTCCACAAGCGCAGGTGGCACAAGCGTCGGTGGCGCAGCGGTTAGGACGCTCGCCGACCATGCACATGGTCCGGGGTTCGATCCTCGGCCGACGCATTCCCTTACCTCGCTAAGCCAGAAATAATGCTGGCAAAGCGGAAAGGTTGGGCATCCTGTAAAATGAACACTGCTACAGAAACTTCAAACCACTAGCTTGAGGCCCTATGTTCCACTGGGAACGTGAAGGGAAAAAAACAGCCACAAGCGCAGTTGAATTGTTTGTTCCTTCACGAAGTTTATTTCCTTGTGTCAGGCAATAAAACATTCCTTGAGTTGATTTTCTTTAGAAAGACACTTTTTCAGTGACCTAAACCGATCTATTGTGGTCTCAATACAAAGATCTGCTATTTTCATCTTACTGCATTGACATCTGGGGCTTTCTGGAGAAACTTACAGTCAAAAAGCACTCCAAAGACAGCAAGATGACCAGTGTTTTTGACTAGAATCTATGTCTGGTTCCTGTCAAAATGAATAACCTCGAAAACGCAAAACTACCTCAAAAGAACCATTAAGTAGCTTTACAGTCATGGTCGACTTCTCAACACAGATCAGGTACTGTAGAACACAAATTGGTTAACTAAAAATCAACTACGAGAAGTATCTTGGAATCAAGCAGAATATTTCCAGCAAGATGGGATGATAGCTCTGTTCACAAGAACCAGTTATCATTGCTTCGTAGAGACACTCCAAGGTTAGAGTGGCCTTGGATCACTTAAACAAAATTCTGTCGAGAGACAACAAATCATCAGTGTACCGCATAATCACAAAGAGAAGCATTAAACCTAGAGATTAAACAGGGATCTTTTGGGGGATGCGTGGAAGGAGAGGTTGTTATTTTATGCTACATGTCTAGAGAAATTTACAGATAAGTTCTTATAGTTTTAAAGGTGGCTGTTAATAATCACGCATACTTTAAATGTGTTTAAATTTATAGCATTTACAGTTAATCAGCAAAATGCGAGAAACGGCATTGTATGTAATATATACTACTAAATGAGTGATTTGAGTAGTTGGAAGACACCTATATCAAACAGTATTGCTTGCTAGCCAGCCAGATCGCAGGAATATACACACTGGATCCAGTCACTCGAATTCGGGTTAGCTGATTCAGTGCACTGGTAGTTTACACAATTACACAGTTTATGTTAGAAATCAACAAATCACAGTTTCCTTTGAAAACTAAATGTATTCACATCACAATTGCTGATCCTCATGTGTAGTCTGTATCAACAGGCCATTTGGCATGCTGTCTTAAATGCCACTTATAGGATGGAAATGTGGTGATTTGTTGGGTAGAATTGTAGAATTTCCTAAAGATGACTGGAAGGGGAAATTTCTCCATCATTTGTCTCAGATATGGTAGGCATTGAGTGTACACAAAGACTCCGCTTGCTATTTGAGACACGTTTCATTTCTATGTAATACCTTAGAACTTTTTCCACATGAGTTAATAACTCCACGTATATTAAACATTCTGAAACGTAAAATTACTTCGCCCTTGAAGTTCTGTTCACCTTGCAAACTACTTTGCATTCAAAGCTTTTGGATATAATCAAGGTTACGCCTTGTTTTTGATATTGAAGAATTTGTCCATTGTGCAGCGTTGCATCTCTCTCTTGAGCTATTAGTGATTCATCTTCCTTTTTACTGTCTTAAGTTATTAGTCCCTCATACGTTAGTATTTCTAGTATGTCTTCGGGAATGTTTTTCGCTGTCTCTTCAAAGCAATTATTGCAGGAGCATTTTAAACTTCTATCGCTTCTCCCATTTATCCGAAGAAGGCAGAACTCGGCTTGAGTCAGGCTGTGAAGACCCAGGCACAAACGCTTCCAGACCCTCTCCATATACCCCAGCCGGGATTACTATTATTAGCTCTCATGGAATAAGTGTGGCTCGTATCCCATGACTTCTCTGAGTTTAAGGAAAGCTTCACCACATTCGAGATTTTCTTGATGAAGACTGAGAGTAGCCATACGCTTCTTGAGAGTAGGAGTTACCTTGAAGTTTTGAAAATTTCATATTCATTTCTTAGTAAGATATGAATGTTATGCTGTTTTTTGCTGAGAGGTAGACGTATACATGCGTAAATTAACGCATGGTCCTACTCCAAGAACCCATTTGACAGCCATAGCCTATATGATTTATTTAAGTCAGGTGTCTTTTAGTGAGACAGTGTTCCTTCTAACGTCGCTTCTGACGTGGCTCAATAACTTTATCAGTCGATATTAAACTACAGTTCTCTGTGTTGGCAATTACTTCCACTTCGGCTCTGACAACTGTGCAATATTACTTATCTGTATGCTATTAGTGTATTCCATATCCTGGTACATAAACTATCCAATCCATGTAAATGGTCTCTGTTGCGGATTTTCACAAGTGAAGTCTTGAAAGTCGTGACTGTTGTCTCTTCTGCATGTGCGTCGGTGGCACAGTGGTTAGGAACCTCGCCGACCATGCACATGGTCCGTGATTTGATCCCCTGCCGACACACACCTGATATCTATGGTCGGCCAGCAAAATCTGGGCTACCGATATCCATGCTGAAAATTCCATAGTTGTACCAAAAATACAGTGTGGAATCAAGCTGTAATCAAATAATAAATAAAAAAATAAATAAATAAATGATTTTTTGTTCTGAGTCATATCAATGAGCTCCTAATGAAGCAGGTGGAGATTAAAGCGTGGGTCTTTTGTCTAAAGATTTAAGAGTAAATAACTGTCGATTGGAATGTGATCTTTTCTGTCACACTTCTAGCGTGAGTACAAAAAATATTTGGCGTTGTGCTGATAGTTAAATAAGTAGAGGTTATATCTCCACTTCTTAACTTCATTTGCAAACACAATTTGGTCCTGATACCTCAGCAAAGTAACGGACAATACAATTTTCTTGTAACTGAAAGCATGAATGTTCTGTACGAGTTCTAGCAGAAACATCACTCCTTAATGTGGACTCAGATGCATCCCTGTCTGATGTGTCCTTACAACAAGAGAGAATGCTTATCCTGGATTCAACTAAATGATATCGTGTTTATCTTCAGATATGGTGGAAGAGTAGATATCCAATAAACCCATTCAATGAGAAATTCAAATTAACCAAGTACGGGATAACAAGTAATACTCATTGCAGTTATAGCGGCCTGGTGGATAACTCTGGCGTCACTACAAGAACAGATGCTACATTCTATTACCAATGAACTGACAGTCTATACGTCTAACTAATAAGTCTCACGAAATTTGATAGATTACTGGTGATAAACTAGTGTCATGTGTGTATTTATTTGTTTGGTGCAGAGTGCAATGTGGCCAGCATGCCAGGTGGCTTGCTATTATGGTACACTATGAGTGGTTGATATTAGATCGTTAGAGGCTATCTTTAGGAAGTCTTCTATCTAGGTTTCATACTATTAGGCATTCGTCAGCATTCATGTAATTTCTGAGATTCGAACTCGTGTCACACAGCCTTGTAGTCGGAGAATTGACTGATAAAATTCAGTCTGCAACATACAGAGAAGCAGACGCACGATACTAGCCGCTAACTAATATTCAAATTTAGTCCTGCAAGAGGTGAATCACGAGTTAAAATAGCTCGGTGGTAACGTCTCTGACTGCATGCAACACTGAGTGATAT